GCAGCGCGATGCGGCTGCTGCTCGCCGGAGCGAGCGGCGCGGCAGCACTGTCGCAGCGCATGATTGCGCCGTCCGCAAGCGTGGAGGGCGGATCGCCCGGCGCGGGCGGTGCCAGCGCGGCGACGACGCGATGCGCCGTCAGCGAGAAGAGAAGAGGGTTGTGGATTTCCACGGACGCCACGGCTCTCAGCACGCCTCGGCCCTCGGCCTGCGCTTCGAGCGCGAGGCCGCAGGCGCGCAGCCGCTCAATCTCAAGCGTCGCGTTCGACTCCCACGCTGTATCGCACACACGAAGCTCACAGACGGTGATCGACGCGGCAGGCAAACTCGAGAGTTGAGCTGCTGCGCCGAGGCCGATCGCACCCGCGACTGCGATGGCCACCTTGTTGATCCTCGATGGTGGCTGGGCTTGCGGTGGCGACTCAATCATAACTCAACCGCGGTGCGTCCTTGCCGGTGGGTGTGCAGCGTGGGCCCAGCCGCTCCGTGTATCTCGAGACCTCGAGAGAAGTGAGCAGGCCGCGCGAGGGCCCAAGTCAAGAATTGGCTTTCTTTTGGCGGGCAATAGAATTACGCTTCGAAAACTGCACTCCAAGTTTTAAAAGAAACACGAACAGACGGCCGCCGCGCTCATGGACATGGTCATGCGCGCCCGGCGCCGGCTGCGGCGTCGCCGGCGTCCGGCGCGGTCACGTTCCGCGCCTCCACCTCGAGGATGCGCCTCTCGTCCGCCTCGACGATGGTGAAGCGCACGTGGTCGACCCAGAGCACGTCTCCGTCGGTGGGTATCTCGCCGGCCTGGTGGCAGAGGAAGCCGGAGAGCGTGGCGAACTCGGAGAGCGCCTCCTCGGACAGGCTGACCCCGAGGACCTTGCAGACGGCCTCGAGCTCGGCGGGGCCGTCGATGAGGTACGAGCCGTCCTGCTCACAGCGATCGGGCGTGTGAAGAGAGGCGGGCCCGCCCGCCCAGTCGGTCCGCGGCGGTTTGCTCCGCTCCTCGCGCCGCACGATCATGTCGATGTCCTCGAGCACCTCGTCGTCGTCGTCCTCGTCGTAGATTTTGCCGACGAGCGTCTCGAGGATGTCCTCGAGAGTGACAATGCCGGCCGTGCCGCCGTACTCGTCCACCACCACCACCTGCAGGGAGGCTCGGACAAGGTCCAGAGAAGGGCCCGCTGACGCGGCCGTGCTCGCCCGCCACCACGGACCATGTGCAGCCGCCGCTGCCGCATCAGCTTGAGCGCATTCATCGCCGACATGGTCTCGGGTACATAGACGATGTCCTCCATCAGAGACGAGGCGGGCAGCGTGCTCAGGTCGGCGCCCGGCCGGTCGACGTAGTCGATCAGCTCGCGGGTGAGGGCCACGCCGACCACCTGCAGCCGCGGGCGGCGCTTGGGCACTAGCGCTTGGGCGGGCCGCGTGGACCTCGGCCAGAGGTTGGCCGGCGGGCCACCCTTCGCCACCTGGTCGATGGTGCCGTTGTAGACGGGGACGCGCGAGTACTTGTACGTCTGCGAGATTGCGAGCAGGCCTGCGGGGAGGGTCCGAGCAGGCTCAGCGGACGGCTCCGGCACTCGCGCGTCGTGAGGAGGCTGCGAGCCGCCTCGCAGCGAGTCGCCAACCTCGATGCCAACCACCTCCACCCGCGGCTGCATGATCTGCTCGACGGTCGCCTGGTCGAGGTCGAGCACGCCTTCGATCATGTCCTTCTCGTACAGCTCGACCGCGCCAGACTGCTTCGCGTTGAGCAGCATCATCCGCAGCTCCGGCTCGGAGACCGCCTCGCCGTCCTCGGAGGCGGTCACGCCGAGCA